TTACCAAATTGAAATTAGTTTTAGTTTTTAGTTTTAGTTTTACTAAGTTTTCCTTTGTTTCTTAAGGTCCATCGAACTCACGTGGCTGCAAGTCATTTACGTCTTTTATCTTGTTAATAATTTTATTTATCCATCTTAGTTAAATATGGATATTATCGTCAACATTGTTGCTAACAAAGGTTTTTATACCATATACTAGTAAATATTAAAAAAAACAACTAGCAGAGAAACACGTGTGAACAAACAAGTTCACTTGAGTCTTTGTTCGTGTGACAAAGAACTTACTGCGGCTGTCACGCATGCTGGCGAATTGAATGATGTCTAGTGTGTGAGTAGCCTTATTTACGATTTATATTACTATGTTTATTTAGCACAGAATTAATTATTAATCTCAAGTCTATGTCAGTCAGTTTGAAAAAATACGTGTACTTAATTATTAAAATTAGACGAAACCACTTTATCGAGTTAGTTTTCCATGCTATCCACATCGTTGCTTTCCTTGTCGAAACACCTGTTTAAAAAAAATATATAATTCCATGTTTTTTTTCAAGCAGTAAGAGCTATGATAGATTATGTATGTTTAGTTGGAGACTTACGGTAAAAATTAAGGTAAATATATGTATCTAAGATGATTTAAAAAAAAAATAAATCAGTAGTTTGCCTTCCCTTCCTCTTCCCTTTCGATACTTACAAAGATTCAATGAATAGCTTATCGTTTGGCCTTGAAATAATTTAATAAAGCATTAAATAACGTGTATTTCCTTACCTTTAATGTCATACGGCATATTATAAATAGAGGTAAATTGGCTTAGCGTCACCAACCTTGTCACAAAATTGTCGTCATTATGAAGTTACATCACGACATTTGACATTGAAATGGTAATCACACAATAGTATAATAGTACACATTATAGAATTATAAACTTCTTAAGTCTCTCTTCTTTGAAGATAAGTAATCTGTGATTGCGACAGAGAAAAAGGTTAATTCACTAACAGTGCGTTTCTGAGAACAAAATCTGTGTATGAAACATTTCATCAGTCCTATCTCTATCCTATCCTATCCTATCCTATCTTTAACGAAACAGAGATAACAATATTATATTTTTAACAGGGAATTCGATCACAGAAAGTCACGATAAAGAAAATATTTATTAGATAATTGAACATGAAAGGATTGCTAGCTAATATGGGTCAGTTTCTACTCTCTTGATACGGTACAGCAAAATTTTTAACACGCACAGTCGTACCTGATAAGTGCTTTTTGATCTGGCCTCATAGTTCTGTACTTAAACTTAGGTAACTTAACATAGAACGATATCGTACATAACTTAACCCTAACAGACATGCACATGCTTGCTTAACGCTTTTAAGGTTTTAATTTAATTTTCAATAGACTTAAGCGACCCTTCAATGGCTACGATTACATATAATCTCTCTTGCCGGATATATAGTAATCTTAGATACACCTAATCTATCGAAGCTCTGGTCTAAACAAATGTTTCCCTTACTCAAACATATTTACTGTAACTAAGCAAAAGCTAAAGTGTAAATTTACAAAATGAGTACATTTCAGTCTTAATAGTAATTCATTCATTTATGTTATGCGTGATGACAAATATAATTTTGATATTTAAGTAGTATATAATTAGTAATATACTAAGTTCAAACACGAAAGCATTCACAAGGTCACTAAGTAAAAACTTTTAAGTCACACATTACTTACCAACTATGCCCTAAATAAAGCTATTTCTAATTATTTTACAGATTATCTCAAAGAACTCCTTTACTCATATATTTTCATATAATCACTGTGGTATTTTAAAGTTTACTCTCTTAATTACTTCCTTTGTCGGCGTTACACGTCGGCGTTACTTAACAACTTTGTTTGCTTATCGATTAATTTTCAGCTTTATGAAAGGTTGAATTTCACAAAATACCTTTGTACAAAGCTCATTATAGCTAATTTGAACGCGCCGACACGCAACCGTTTATGAGGGTTGCCACATTAAATTAATAATGCAAAGTTTGTTTTTTTACACTACTAAAATGAAAATGACTCATCGCACATGTCGCATGTGGCATTTTTTGCTGTATTTTCTTATATATAAAGTGCCGGTAACTATATACCTAAAATCCATACCTAGTATTGGGTAATATTGTTAATTAAAGACCCGAGGGCGAAACCCTAAGCTGTCACAATATCATAATTACCAGTAATTGATAATTATATTTTCATTGATCGACTCAGTCAGCCCACGCAGAACGATAATAATCAGCCACATGCGATACTTTCACGTAATGAAAGTATGAAAAGATAAGCCATTCCACACGTTGTCTGTAATTAAAACTTATAGTTTCCGCAGTTGGTATTTTGCGCGGAGATCGCGCTCGGTTTGCAGAATAGTGGAAAAAGGGTTTTACGAATGACAGAGCGCGACAAACGACAGGCAAAGTGTTGCCAAACGCAATGTGCCAACGTCACAAAAGCCGCGCATGCTTGTGTTGTAAGTGCGCGAGTGCAGGCGCACCGAGAACGCACCGGGACCGGCCCCACATTCACCGCGTGCTTTGCGTGTGCCACAAGTTACAAGAGACAAGATAGTTTCGACATTTATGTGAATAAAGTTATTTTAAGTTAATTTAAGAGAAGATCGAAGTGTCTTTTAACGGCTCTAAATTTTCCTTAACTTTACTGTATTTAATTCAAATATAATCCGACCGATTCCTGATGAATCATAGTTATTTGTTTCACATAACTTGCTAGTCAATTAAGTATGTAATAAATCGTAGTACATTTTGCTGTAAATACTGTACTTTATAGAAAAAAGTATCAACTTGATAAGATATATTAAATTTCAATAATAACTAATCCCGCTCACCGGCTATCACTTCGAAATTCACGCCATCAGATGAGTAACCGGCATTCTGTGCTGCGAAAGGCTCGACCCCGCGGAACATCCGTTCTGAAACAATCGGCAGCCGCAGATTATTTTGTCGCCATAGAGAATGGCAGCACCAACTGATTAACTATGAGTCACGTGATCTTAATGTTTCATCTCACTGGACCAACACTAAAAGGTGAATGGCACTGCCAATCTGTCACGCTTTCACACTTAAAGTACGTAACAAATAAAAGATTTAGATTATAGATTTATCAAGGTTTGTTTGATTGGTTTTACCAAGGGTTATTAGTACGACGACTTTATTAAAAATAAAATTAAAACTTATGTATTACGCAAAACGAAAACACGAAAAAGATTCAATCCATTGAATGAACTTTGGAGAGAGCTGCACAAACCACGCCGGTAAAAAATTGCTATTATTTTTGTGTAGGCGCAGCCTAATCTGTTTCTACACCCAGTCGGTTATAACAACGCTTGATATTTATTAAGCTACTCAGAAAATTAATTGCTCAATATTTATGATTAGATTTAGGTACTGGAATTATTATAAATGTTATTTTTCCGAGTGTCTTACAAGAGCATTAAGTAAGCTAAATCTTATGTAAATAATCAAACATTATATGAGTTTAATGGTCAAAACAATTCTATTGAGTTTATTTCTCATTGATTTTGCAACATCAGTAATCAAATGTTATTAGATTAAATTTCATTTCCACAGAACGATTTCTAACGGTAGCATAATTGGATAATTGTTTGACTCAACTATAATAACACAAGAATTACTAAATACTAATCATAAAGTGACTTGTTAGGAATATTACTGATCCTTAAGTAATTATAAATACCTTAAAAATTGTTATAAGGTTTGTCATGTGCATACACATCGGTATACACTTTAGTAAAGTAATGTTACTTATTTTTATCTACTCATCAATAACAACTCACTTCATTGTCACTTCTATAAAATTATAAAGAAACAGAAGGCCTAGCACGATTTTTTATGAATTTGTATTAGGTTTGTACAGCGTCCCCTATCGGGCGTAAAGTACAACGACAAATCTGATACAAATTATGACAAATTTTATTGGTAATGTTAGTTTACCAATTCAGGAGCCAATTTTTGTCACTAGACTATTTCTAATAATTACCCAAAACTAGTTGAGTAAATTAACGCACCCTGCGTGATAACGACTCCAGTTAGCGGCAATTATAATTCATAGTGTTTGATAAAAGTAATGAAAACAGTTATTCTAATTTTTCTTTTAGAGTTAATAAACCAAAACCAAATGCTTAACCAAGGTAGTCACAGCATAAGAAGACTTGAGGGGCAAGAAAAAGTGCATTCAATTAAAACGTTACATGAAGAATTAGAATTTCGCGAATATTTATATTCGAAAAGAATGAAAGAAAAGTTAAAATTATTATATTATTATACATTACATACAGAAAAAATTAGAACCTCTTCTTTTTTAAATCGATTAAAAATTATTTTGAAATATGGCAGCACTAAAACTCTTAGAAGAGTGTAAATGTTAGTATAACTAATTCACTAGTACAAATAACACTATTTTAAAGGTTTGATTGTTTCAAGTTGTTTATAAATATGTAATTGAATATTTTACAAATTTTATTCACTATAGGAAATTATATTTCTGGTAAAGCTATCTTCGTGAATGCTTCCACAGCAAATTTTATTATGTTGGCGAACAAGATGTTGGCACCACTGTATTGGTGTTACCCTATGGTTAAAAATAGCAAGTAATTTGGAAGAATTAATAAAAAAATTAATACAAAAAAATTCTTTCCCGTATTTCTCGCAACTCTTTTCTTAAGAAATTTAAGGATTCAGGACCTAAAAAAGTTACGATAAAATAATAATATGAAAAGTCAAAGAAATGTTGCAAGCCTTGAGATAAAAGGCAAAATACTATTAATTCTCAAAAGTTATTACGTTAATATCTATTACACCTTATACAGCACTTTTATACTTTAGGACTATTATAAAAGGTTATAAAACGCTTTGAAATTTCCCGGAGATTAAAATACTTGGGGGAAATATTTCAATTATATGGCAACATTTTAAAAAAGAAAGTGAAGTGAAAGAAATGAATTTACGAGAATAGGTCGCAAGTCGCATAGATTTTTGGTTGATTTCCTTTTCACTTTACTTTCGTATCCTCAGTGAGATCTAATAAACTCGCGTTAATTTGTGTTTCCGATTATACTTTGATTCAGCGAAATTAGGTACTGGATTTCCGAAAACAGGATAAGTACGAGAGTACACAGCATCTTATTGATTTTCTTTCCTTGCATATGCTTTCAACCAATACGAAGTGGAGCTAACGTTTCGGGCGAAACAGTCTTCTTATTAGAAAACGTTCTTAGTATTTCATTGTTTAAACCTTTCGGTTTTTAACCTTATTTGGTCTTAACGCTGTATTCAGTAAAAATGATGACCAATATCGACTCCATGAACGTGAATCAACCTACGCAAAATGGTAGTAAATTACAACCTTGCAACAATGAATCTAAGACGAACTTGATTGTTAATTATTTGCCACAAACTATGACTCAAGAAGAGATCCGGTCACTATTCTCTAGTGTTGGGGAAGTCGAGAGTTGTAAATTGATTAGAGACAAAGTAACCGTGTTCCCGGACCACATTCTCAATGGGCAGAGCCTAGGCTACGCGTTCGTCAACTATCACAAAGCAGAAGATGCCGAAAAAGCTGTTAACACCCTAAATGGTCTACGACTGCAGAATAAGGTAATAAAAGTATCTTACGCCCGCCCCAGTTCCGACGCAATCAAAGGTGCCAATCTCTACGTGTCCGGTTTACCCAAACATATGACACAGCAAGACCTGGAGAAGCTCTTCAGCCCTTATGGATCGATCATCAGCTCCCGAATTCTTCATGAGAACGTAAGTGTCGGCCATTTATTACAAGGAGGTGTAGAAGATCAGTCAATCCAGGGGCCATCACGAGGTGTGGCATTCATCCGATATGACCAGCGCTGTGAAGCAGAGGCAGCTATCCGTGAGCTGAATGGCACCATTCCACCGGGAGGCACTGGCCCTATGACTGTTAAATGCGCAAACAATCCCAGCAATCAGACCAAAGGACTAGCTCCATTAGCTGCCTACCTGACTCCCAATTCTACTCGTAGATTTGTTGGCCCAGCAGGGAAGGCTCTCCTAGCTATCAATAAAGGACTGCAGAGATTCTCCCCATTGGCTGATCCCATCATCCAAGGCAATGCTCTTGGAGGTTCAGGTTGGTGCATCTTTGTGTACAATATTGGAGCTGATACTGAAGAGAGCACTCTTTGGCAGCTCTTTGGCCCATTTGGTGCTGTTCAATGTGTTAAAATAATAAGAGATCCCACCACTAACAAGTGTAAGGGTTATGGTTTTGTTACCATGACTAACTATGATGAGGCAGTTGTCGCCATCCAGTCCCTGAATGGATACTCTCTGAATGGCCAGGTGCTGCAGGTCAGCTTCAAAACGAACAAGAGTAAATCCTAAACTCATCAAATTCTAGTCAATAAATTGTAGCTAATGCGAAAATGTTGATCATTTCTCTGTCATGATTCTTTGTCACAGTAAACTGACTATTGACTAGGAAATAATGTGACTTAAATCATGGCATGACACCGAATTGTAAACAGTGTTCATACAAGAAAAGTACAAACCATCTACCACAGGTTAAGTTTCATGATTCACTATAAAATATAAGCAAAAGGAAAGTCCCACTTATTTATTGATTCAGTTCAATGAACATTTTATCCATTTACATACTGGTATTGGATAAATTGTACATTTTAATCTTCAATAGTTAGCCAAACCTTTCCTTTACATAACTTAAATTACATTATAAATTGTCCAATTACAAATAAGAATACTCTACTGTATTTCATTGAAAAAGAGATAATTTGATCCTGTAACTAATAGGAAATATTATTTTCAAAAATGTACTGATTCACTTTAGCATAGATAGAAAGTTTTTTTTATTTTATTTTAAATTTGCTAAATCTTAGTTTAATGTATAATGACTAAATAACAGATGAGTCTATAATTTAGTAAAAAAGATAATTTATTATTTTAGTTTTTAAAATAGACCTAATTAATATTTCTTTATACCTTTACTGATTCTTAAATACAATACCTACTGTGGTTTAATTAATTCTGACATTTAGCTAAATACCAGAGTAATTTGTAACACAAATTTAATATTATAAATATTAAGAAATTTAGAAAAATTTTGGACTATGTCACTATGATTAGATCCCGAGCAATATACTGTTTTTGAGGATTGACAGTGCAATATTAAAAGATTTTACTCTAAGTAAAAATATATTAAAAAAAAGAGTTTATTATATGTATTTAAAGACAGTGCAATTATGTAATACAGTTGATTAATTTCAAAATGAAACCAGCAATATTATATTTTACAAGAATTATATAAACAATATTGAATGTATCTGAATACTACCAAAGATGACATAAAATATGACTGATTTAATCATTACATTAAATATTCATATGAAAAAAATATCATTAAATTACCAATCCAATAAGTTTCATCTATGTTTTACAATTCATGTGACTATAATCTCTTATAATAAATCCATGACTTTAAATATTAAGAGAATCTCTAATTTAAATGCACAAAATCATAATGTAAGATGGTTATTTTAATCTTTTAATGTATAAATTCATATTCAAGTTATGTTTTCTTCTAATTCCTGTATTGATTTTCATTGTAAAAAACCGCAAATCACAATTATGGAAGTTATCAATTCCTACTATTGGTTCACACTTTTCCAATATTAATGGGGCTTGAAAAATTTTAACTAACATCTACTCAAGTTCACAAATAAATTGTAAACTTCTTGTAGATGACTCTATGCAATATAAACAAAGTTTTCTTCCGTATTAAAAAATTTAATACTAATATTTTCTCTGTGTCTACCTAAGTAGGAATTGACTTTATGACTTGTTTCGACATAACCATGTAAGGAATCTGAATCGAAATTATAAAGTTGATGGACCACAATATGACTGCAGTTAGTTGATCAACATTTTAAAGGAAATTTTTGTATTGACTTGAATATGTAACAAGTTGGGGAAATTTGTATTAATGTGTATGTCAAGTAATAAAATTTGCATTAATGTTAGTCTCAAAGGTTTTCTTGTTAAGTGGCAAAGGGCAGAGTGCTTACTGCACTTGATTTGATGAGGAACTGCTCTAGATGCTGTAACTTAAGCATGATTTAAATTTGTCTTTTGTGAAATGATATTCGTCTCTTATTCATTTGATTGTGTAAACGCTATTTATTATTACATTTAAGTAATGTATGATTAATAATTTATTGTCATAATAGTGAATAGATTTATAGTAGATTTCATTTGATGTTATTATTAATATATATCGATTACTAGTGTAAGTTTGGGACTTAGTTTGGTGAATTGTTTAATCTGTAAAGCAACATCCATATTATTTATCTCGGTATTGATTACTTTCAATATCTTCATAGTTAAATTATTCATAGATAAATGCATATCACGTCCCCGATAGTGCACAGTTGGTGACAGCGCAGCAACAGTCTTGTTAAACGCATTTTGATTAAGTGATTTAATTTCTATACTGCTAAGGATAAATGATTCATTAAGGTTAATTATTTATTTAAAGTACTTAACTACACGGAACTAGTCAGTTTTACTTTTGCGCGACATAAATTTTTAAGTACCTACTTATAAGTATTTAAAAAAACTGTGTTCTTTATTTAAATGTAGATTAGAATTTGATTTAAAAAATTTGTTGGTGTGGTGTTTCGTTAACTTAAGCATAGTATACCATTGCATGCATACAGCAACAACGCAAATGGTGTGCTTAAAAAACTAGTCACAGGTAAAACATACCTCGAAGTAATATAGTCTGAGGAATTGTTGTGAATCTTTTGGGCGTGTCTGCGGCAAAGAAACTAATCTACATGGAGGGAATCTCAGTGTGTTATTTTCCTTTATTATGTCTTAAGTAGTACTAAATCCGCCTCCAGTTCACAGTTCCTTGTAGCCAATTTAGCGGTCTTAAGTTTTATTTGGATCCCTAATAAACCGCTCAAAGGATTTCCAGCACGTCTACGATAATCTGTGTTGTGTCGTCCGTCACTTGAAATTCACACTAACCAATGAAAGGAACATTTTGCCAGAGCAGTTGTTAATAAAGCTATCTATAAATGAAAAGAAATTCTCTAAGCATTGAATTGTCGACTACATAAGTATTTATCAGTTCACTGCTAACAAATATGCTTCTTACTGCATGAATTTTTGACGAAAACAGATTTTTGATCATAAAAATGTATCTTTTTTCTCAATTATAGGTAGCATTGACAACTTTACACCTGTCCCATTTAATTTTATTTTCTCTGCAATATTTCGTGGTATTTTATTTGTGTTTAGCATAGTTTCAGTTAATTTATAAATTAACAATTGTCAATTTTTTCTGTCTAGTTTTTATTTATTGTATAACAATTATTTAACAAATTTGATTTTGTTTTTTTTTTGGTTTATATTAATTTGTGGGCAGGTTCGGGTATTGTAAGGTTTGGCCTAGTGTGTAACTAGAGATGTAAGACAGAGTACAAATCGCCGATAACGTATTGAAAAAAAAATGTTTGGCTTACATTTAATTTTTTGAAATGTCAACGAATGTAATCTGATGTAGGAAATATTGATATAGACATTAAATATCGACATTAGCAATAATATTTAAATATTCTTTTATTTAAACCCCTTTGTACCAACAATATTGTCAACAGTGGAGAGGTCTCCAGACGATGTGTCATTTCGATGTCAATATGGAGTCGGGAGAGTCTCGTGTCCAATTTTTTGTTATCACTGTGAGACGAGACAGCTTGGCGACGGTGACGGAGCGCTTCGTTGCGTCGTAGTCGAGCGTTTTTCCTTTTCAGACAATCTAGACAATACCAAACATGATAGACATGAACAATTGCCTACATTTTAAATTAGAAATAATGTGTAGGTAAAAAAGTAACATCGCTAAAATTTTCTTGTTATTAGCTCGAATGACCATATAGTTCTCCCTTTGTCACTTAGAGGCCGTTAGTTTTATTTAGAGGCTTTAAGTTTACTTTAAAAATTATGATTTAATATTTTGACGATTGATTTGTTATAAAAATTGTAAATTTGATATGACCACGCTACCAGTTTGGCCGCAGAAGTGAACCGCTAAACTATAGTAACGGGCTAACGGGCAGGCCTTCGAATAGAAAGTTCATTATAACTCTCTCTTGATGGTTAAAACGCGCGTCCATCGACAAGATGTTTTCGCAAAACGGAATTATATTAAAAGCAAATTATTCTGATGTCGGAATTTCTTACGCAATACTTATTGAGAAACTGCGCGCAGGAAGTCTTAGTCTGAAAATATATTCTACTTTTAATTGCAAGCAAACATGCATAAAAAATATCCAGATTAAAAGACTGATTTGTATTTAGTTCTATAAAGCAACCAACAGATTGGTTTAAACTCATAAAACAAATAACTAGCTTCGCCCCAATTCGTTGTGTTGTGTATCGTTCGTGACTATGGGTGATTCAGCGGTAATGTATGTATAAAAAGGCAAGGGTTAATAATATAAATCTCTTTATTGTGTCAAAATTACCGTCGAATATTATGTGTTCGTAAAAACTTACAAATCGATTTTGATTCTGGGAGAGTTGTCCCAGTTCTCTGCCTACACCCTAATATTCACAAATTTATCTTCTCATACACAGACTTGTAAGGAGTATGTTATAAGAGAGAGAGAGTTGTAGGTAAATGGGATTGCTATCATAATTCAGAAATGTTTATACCGGTCTCAGGTCTAACTTTTAATAAAGGCTTAACAATTGCATTAACAACGTGCTATGTTCTTCAATTTGAAGACGTGCTTATTAAATTCTAGAATTTAGATTTCCCTTAAATTTTTATATCCAAATTCTGGTAAACGACAGATTATATTTAGACTTGAAATCTTTTCCGTAAAACTCGTCTCAAAACCCTCTTGAACTCTGACATTCAGAGCTATCTGAGTAGACTCAATTTACGGTTGAATGGGAAATGATTTCCTCGGAATAATCGGGCAGCTGTTAGTTGCTTTTCAATGGATTTTTCACTAGTTTCGCTCTTTTATATATCCTATCTTATCCTGCATTGTCGTATTAAAGCAATCACTACTAAAAATAAAGGTAGACAGAGACCTAGAAATGTTAATCTTAATGTCTTTGTCAACCTGAATGAATTAAATTATTTAAGGTTAATATAAAAATACTTCAGAAAAAATAAATCTGACGAATGAAATAGAAAAGACATTCGAAAACTCGATTGTGTAGGATATTTTGAACGGTCACATTTATTAAAGTAGCAGTTTAGTCGAGGGGTGCGGAAAGTCATGTTCACCCTAAATAAAGTTCAATGACCTCTTCCCGCGATGATCAAACTGGATATGGACCAGATACTAGGGGATACTATAAATGAAGGGCGAAAAATTGTTTGTCCCTGTTTTAAAGTTATTATTTCAAAAAAAAAAATAGGCGATCTGATCCGCACTACCTAAATAAGTGTATTTTTTATAAATGTATGAACGTAGTACTAAATTCTAATATTAGGATATAAAATAGCAATTTCGTGTACATATATTTAGAAAGCTTTATATTTTTGTGGTACAGATCTTTAGATTTCTAGAAGTTATAACAACCCCGTTCTAATTTTTTAAAAGTAAATAACAATAATTCTATCCATATTCCTTTACCTCCACAACAATATAAATAAAAAAACAAACTTCCAACACCATCGATTTATCCACCGCGCCGGCGTTTTGCATTACTCATTTTACGCAATGTATTGGTTTCTTGATTTTTTTTATAAATAAGATATATATTTACATAGAATCAATAAATTTTTACTGAAACTCTTCGCAGTGCCAATATTTGTATTATTTATAAATGAATACATATAATGAGACATTACAACAATCGATTTTGTTTCTTGACCAACTGCAACAAAATGTAGCAAGTGTTGCAGCGCAATATACGGCAATCCAACACGGCTGAGTATTTTTATGTCTCAAAAACATGATCTTTATCGTTTATGTAAACACCGATCAAAAGCGTTTAACACTATGAAGATTAACTGGCGGACATTGTGCTCGGCATCTTGGTCTTGGTGGCATCACGGCATCGCATTTGGTTGTGCTGCACACATCGCTCTGAGCGTGGAAATAATCGGGTTTAAAACAGAATGAAAGCACCAGTGCTTTGCGGCGCTTTATTACTATGTCAACAATGTGTTTTTTCCCAATAAAATAATAAATTTGTGTGTTTTTTCTAATCTCACTCGACTTTTTATGAGATTAAATAAGTTTCTATATGGCAACCTTTATGACGTTGACGTATTTTGTAAATCTGTCAATGTCACTTTAATTGTGATGTGAATTCAAGTTACGAAATGCATTTGCAAACAATTATATTTAGTACAACCAACAATTATATTTTAATTGCATAATGAGAAAGTAAACAAGTCATACTTAAACAGCAAAAGTTTCAATTATATAAACTGTTAATTGCTATGAGATCTATACACAAGTCTATCTGTTTCTAGTGTTCTAAAGCAATGTTATTGACATAACTCAACAACTCGTGTAACTTTAAATAATCATTCATTTAAAACTATGGAGTCATTATCAAAACAAGAGTTAATATCGACAATAACCAAACAAGCGGATCAAATTAAAAGATATGAAGCCAGGCTCAGAGGTAATATAAATAATTTTTTCCTAAACTGATTTTACCATATGTTTCGATTGTCCATATAAAACAGCGTTTCCATCACCACTAGGTCTCAACAAAGTAACAAACTTAAAAAATGTTTACTTTTTATCACCAAATAACCTAAACTTTTTTGATTGTTTAATTATTTTGTGTAATTAAGTCTTTGTACTATGTATTGTTTTTCAGATGTTGTTGCTGCATATAAAGGACTTGTTAAAGAAAAAGAGGCCTTAGAAATCAGCTTGAAAGCTTTGAGTAGAGGTGACAATGCTAGTGGACAAGGTATTGTTTGGTTTTCTATATGTATTGTGTTTGTTTACTTACAATTACCTTGAGGACAGTGATTGATAAATACAGGGAGTTGAGATACAGTTTACGTTCAATTCTAACACTATTTGTGCAGATGAAGATTAAAAAAAAAAACTAATTTTTTCACTATTTTAACTAAGCATAGATAATGCTTCAAATGGTCCAATGGGTTTTTTTAATTCTCTTGAGTCAATTGGCACAATAACAATGTGAAATATTATACTTGTGCTAGCTTCATGGATTTAAACCCATAGCCATGCAATAAGGTAGCAAATGTAAAATTAACAACATTGTCACAAATATTCATGCTAGGCCTACAGATATTACTGTGGCCTTTACATGAGCCAACATTTGCATATTTACCTTGTGCATGTAATAATGTTAGTTCAAATACATTTGTAAAGCATGAAATATAATCTTTTGTATTGTTTTCCTAAGATTCAGAAGATTCTGTGGCAACACTTATGCAGTCACTTGCCACATTGACTGCTGAGAAATCACGCATGGAGGAGGCTTTTCAAGCTGATAAGAAAGTTACAAGGGAAAAGGTAGACTATATTTATTATAACATGGTAGATTTACAGCTAATAGAAACAATAGATACAAGTCGCGGTGGACAGGACTCTGTCAGTGCGAAACAAAAAAAAAGTTTATTCTATGCATTCTTCCAGAGGATGTTCTACATGTATGCTAAATTTAAGCAAGACCCATTTAACTGTTCTGGAGATACCTTCTAACAAACATCCATTCAACCAAACTTGCCTTTATAATATTAGTTTAAATAAGTCATAATATGATAAACTTACATTTCCCATAAAACAAAAATATAGTTTTAATAAAATACTCTTTGATTTTAGAAGTACCAAGTAAATAATTTATAGTAAATAGTTTCCATCAAATGAATATTACAACTAAGTATAGAAGCTTAATCTAATATTATTAATAATTTCAGTATGAAAACATGTTAGCATCAATGAGAGAAGAAACAAAAACACTAGTGCAACAGCATCTTGTTGAAGTTAGCAATTTGAAAGCAAAAATAGCTTATGAAATTCAAGAGCGGGAGAATGAGAGAGCAGATCACGCTGCTATGATGAAGTGAGTACAAAGTATGTCTAACAGTGGCATACACCAGCAATAATCTTTTGCATGAATGTGGAGCTCGCCTGCTGCAGTACCACAACCACACAGGAGATATGTGTGAAGAAGAATTACAATCTAATGAGTGTGTTCCGGAGGGCTATTTTTAGTCATGTTACCCTCCCCACACAGTTTCTTATAAGAAATATAAAGAAGAAGTGGATTTTACGGAGGAATGGGCACAGAAAGGGGAAATATTACCATTCTGTGCATCCCCTTTTCCATCAATTAAAAGCAGTGGTTGCTTTGTTATTTCTGCCAATTTGAGTGGCAGCTTGTTTGTTTGCCAATTTATAAAAAAATATGCATTCAGTGTAAGAGTTTATAATTTAAAAAAGTTTTGATATGATTCTTATTATTTATTACAGAGAATTGCATGCAAAGTTGACATCAGAAAGGAAAACTAAAGAGAAATTGGAGGATAAAGTTGTTAACACAACAGAAGCACAAGGTAAGTAAATATATTGCAAATTATAAACAAAAAAAACCTAACCATTATTAAACTAAAAGGTTTCGTTGACATTTGCAGCATCCCAAGCGGAGTTGGAGAAGAGAGTGCGGGACTTGAGCAGCAGTTTGGAGGCATCCCAGCGGAGGCTGCAGCGCGCGGAGGCTCGCACAGTGGAGACGCCCGCGCTGCTGGTGCGGCTGCAGCAGAAGCTGGCCCTGCTTGAACAGTCACACTCCGTCGCTATCAGAGAGGTCTCATCTTTACTTAGACACATTTTCTGCTAATAACAATCTAATTGGTAGCCTATGTGTTGTTCCACACTATGTTCTACATCTATGACAAATTGCATCGGGATCCATTGTGACATTTTGGAAATACCTTCTAACACACGTCCATCCATCTTAACATTTCCATCATATTCATAGAGTAACTGCGAGAGTTCAGATGGATGAATGGATCTTAGAAGTACATATAGACAACTTATTAAGTTTTTTTAATTCCGTGCGGACGGAGTCGCAGACGACGGCTAGTTTTTATTATTAGTAAGATTAAAAATGAACATTTTGACTGTAGGAACAAATAAAAGCAAAACGCGCAGAAGAATCTGCAAGAAAGATTTGCGCTCGTCAAGAAGAGAGAGTGGCGTTGCTAGAGGGCAAGCTAGCGGAACTGTCACAGACCATTGGAGAGTACGACTTGAGACGGAGACGAGATCAGCAGACCATACAGCAGCTCAAAGAATCACTCAATGGCAGTCTTCTGGACAAGATGGCTACAAGACGTGGTTAGTATAATCAATATGTTTATTGCTTTTTAACCCACAAAAATGATATTTTCCTATTTGGCGTCCCTTCTCTTATAACATCCACTTCTCTTTTCCATTCTTTACATATAAGAAAGAGGGAAAAAAGGGGAAAAAGGATAGACTAAAATTAGGCCTCCGGCAGAAAACAGGACAAATCCAATATAAAATCTTCCTAATATTAAGGCGAAGGCTAATATTTGATGGTATAAAATATTTCAGATGAGATTCAACAGAAAAGCGAGACAGATAATGAAAAATTAGCAGACAGTGAATACTTACAGACGTTAATTGATAAAATACATATACTAAAGAAGGAATTAATTGCTGAAAACATAAAACTAGGCAACCCGGTTGATATCTCCACTGTGTTCAAAGTGGACGGTTACGACAATGTACATGACAAATGTAAGGAAGAATTGGAAACATTGAAAGTAGAGTTTGATAAGTACAAGACACAGAATATGAAGAGAAGTGATGACGGTGCGAGTGAGACGGACGATCTGAAGACAGAGATAGTTGTGTTGAAGGAGAAACTGGAGACTTACAAGTTGATGTGGGAAGAGGAGAAGCAAGACAAACAGGATACGCTCAAGTTGTATGAAGAGGTAGTTATTTACGTTTTTAATTAACATGTAATTGTGTAAATATTACTTTTTCCTTTTCTAATTTCTTATTTTAATTATATGTTGTATGATATCACATTATAATCTCATTAAAAAACAATAGTACACGTAAAACCTTACGCCAAAATTCATGAATTTTACTAATATTATAAATGGCAAAGTTTAGATGGATGGTTATTAGGTAGAAAGTATCTCCAAAACAGTTGAATGAATCTTGATAAAATTTGGTACAGATGTGAGATAATATATATAGGCTACTCATTAAGTTTTTTAATGTCACGTAGACGAAGTCGCGCACGACAACTAGTTTATAAATAATGGTGAATGCTATTTTTTACAATTTGAATATTTTGTCTCATATTTTCCACTGAACTTAGTTAATGAACGTTGAATGTTGTCCAAAATAAGTAGAGCACTTTATATATATTTATATTTATAGAAGTTAAAAAGCGAGAGAGAGTACCAGAAGGAGGTGACATCGGAGCTGAGGAGCAGGGTGCAGCGGCTGGAGCATCAGACGCAGACGCAGCGGGAGAGGTACGCCACGCTGCTGGAGGAGACGGACACGTACATGCGCGCGCGCACTCAACGCAAACTCAGCACTGAGGAACTTCTCAAAGACGGACATGGAATGCTTAATGTAACTCTTTTGCACTCTTTATTGTCTACCTCTCGGTATATCTGTCACTGTCACTGTCACTGTCACTGTCACTGTCACTGTCCTTCAAAGTTGGCAGTTTTAAAAATACTAATTTTTGTTTGTAAGATTTTATGGCATTGCCAATTTTATTAAATTAGCACACCTATAAATTGTGTCATTTTTGATAGTTTCATAGTTAAAAATGTAAAATAAGTAGAGTTGACGTAACATTCTGACAACGTTACATTGATATGATTACAATTATCATAATATGTTATCGAAATAAAAGAACAATGGTGCAGTTCTTCACAACTTCAAAAAAACAAATAATGTTTAATGCCCGTTTTCACAAGGTTACGTTGTTTGACCTTGAAGTATCAAAAGTGGTTCGTGTATAATGTATGTATGTATGTATGTGTGTATGTATTGTGTGCAGGAGGGCAGCGCGCCGCCGCACATGCTGCACTACGCGCACGAGCTGGCCCGCAAGGACCTCGACATCACGCAGCTGCGCAAAGACAAGCATCATCTCGAGGGACAATACAGGTCACATACCACCTCACATCACCTCATCTCACCTCACCTCACCTCGCCTCCTGAGCACTCCTGACATTGTCAACATCTGTGAAAATAAGAAATGTGTTCTTAAACTATGAATTTAAATTTGCAGAGACTGTCAGCGTGAAGCGACTATAGAGAAGGAACGTTTTAAAGAAGTTATAAGAACATTAAAGGAAGAGATTGACAGGTGAGGTACAGTTAAGTTACATTTCATTGTGTTACTTTCATCGTAAATATCATCTGACATAGTAAATATACTTACTGATGTTATCTCTGTTCTTCAAAGGGAATGGAAAGGGACGGCGACATTATAGTGACACAATTGCTATGATATTGAAGACTCAACTTTTGGCCCCCTTTTTATAAAAGAAAGGGGCAAAAGAGCAACGAATCGCCTAAAATTATTTGATCCCCAACGCCAGAGGAATCGCAGATGCCTTAAGTTTGTCTAGACCGTTATGAGAAAAGTCGCTGCGATTTTCAAGATGTCGATTTAGTTGTTATATTGGTACAGACCGAAAAGACGATTTATGTTATTTTGTGTGCGAAGGGCCTTACGCTGTTGATACATCTAATATTGTGTTTAGTGAAAATAATATTTTTGTACTTCAGATTACGTCGCATCCAGTCACGAGAGGGCGCCAACTTGGAATATCTGAAGAACGTAGTGATGGCGTACCTGTTGTCTCACGACGCGGCGGGACGCAGACATATGGTGAACGCGATCGCCGCAGTGCTGCATCTCACGCCCGCGGAGACCGCCGCCGTGCTCGCCACGCTGTGACGCGCAGGCACGCAGGCACGCGGACACGCAGACACACGGACACACAGACACACAAAAAATTGAAACGGTCTATACAGACTGACAGAAGTCACTTGAAGCTAGCAGAGAGAGGCTAAAAGCTAGAATCTTGAATCTAGCTTCAAGTGGCTAGATTCTGTGATGAATTTGCTGATGAAATGATAATCAATTTGTATCTATAAATGTTTTTTGGAGACAGATTATTCCTAATATAATTACTAACAGTTATCTTTATGTTTTTAAAAGTGTTTGATTTTTAAAGTTATTTTCGTTTGAATTGTATAAAAATGTTTAAGTTCCATAATTTTGTGATTAGGTTATGTGTAAATACATTCCTTTTGTTAATAAATATTTTATTATTAATGAAATAGTTTTATTTCTTTTTGAATATAAATGTGAGAATCACAGCTGTGAGTGAATCAGAGAATGACAATATTAGTCGACTTTTATAAAATTAAGGTGGCAAACAAGCGAGCGGCCACCTGAATTCGACGAAATAGCGAAGCGCCCGCTGCCTATAGGCAACCATCAATTGCAGAATCATTGCCTACCTTTAATCGACAAAGGAGGGGACGCACATGCATCCTCCTCCTGCACCTCCTCAGTAACATCCACATCCCTTTCCCGTCCTTTCCTAATAAAAATAGGGTGGAAAGGAAAAAGAGACTAAAATAAGGCCTACGACACGCACACTTATCAGACGAAATGCGCAAGTGCTTCGCACTTGAGGTGTGTCTTCTGTGCGATCGTGGTGCACCAGGCGAGCTGATCAATCCATGCCGATGTTATTGCGTGCATCTAACTGTTAAAATTAAGATTTTGAACCAACGACCCAATGTGTGTTCAATCCGAGAGTTCAATGACTTCTTATTACAATACAATAAGAATTAAATCAACACGTAATATAATGCATTACACCTTAATAAAATACAAGAGAAACGTATCAAAGCATTTATCGTGTCGTATGAGAGCAGGTGTGAGACATAAATATTTTACGATCAATAAATGCCGTCCAATCACTCAAACGTATCCGATACGAACACAAAGTATGTATTACAATTTAATGTTGATAAATAAAACTGAACAGTAAATGTGGTATAATTATTCTAAGTATGATGGAAAAGATAAATTAACACGAGGTAAGAAACACGAAATGGAAAGGACTTCAAAACTCCGATTATTATACATATATGTGCTTAGAATGAGGGACTGCGACTGGCAAGATGTGTGTAAAACAGTTTTGAAACGATTTAAAAGTTCAGGTATCATAGACTTGAACCGTTGAGCTGCGGCTCTACAACTCAATTGGCAACTTACGGCTTACCACATTGTACTATAACTATGTGAGCCGACGAGCAGCGAGTTGCCTGGTGACTAGCAGTTCGAAACGTAACTCTATGCAGCTAAAAATTGAGCTGATCCGTGAGCCGGTTTACTGATCTGTTTTGCAAGTGTGAGCCGTGAGCCAATCTACAGGTCATCAATTTTAGTTGTGAGAGCATGTCAGTTATTTATCTTACCTTGTATGTAACGTCAAGTGAAGATGTCGCGGCGCGGGACCGCTCGGGACCGCTCGGGATCCGGTCGCATCAATCATTTCTGTCTTTGAACATGACATTTGTAGTGACACCATAATAAAAGGAAATGTGCAACTAATTTTATAGTAGAATGTACATTTCATTAGACTTGGTATTGAAAGGTAACCATCATTGAATAATAACTAATTCATAATTATTGTAATAAAATTAGCTAATTTTAAGTGACTTCCTTAGAGTTTGAATATAAAGCTAATTGTTTGTTCGTGTGTTTCTTATCAGTATATTTAAAGGACACCCCCAGCTATAAGTTCACGTTACGTATTGTCATGTAAAAGGTCATTAAACTCACTTCTTTTAAGTTAATTCAATTAATTTAAATGCAGTTGTCGTGTAAACAATCGTGTTTCCAGCTGTCAGTGGGCGGTAAAAAGTGTCGTTGCGTGCTCGCCGCGTGTTCATCACGAGGTGAGCGCGGGGGCGGCTCGGCATTTGTCGCACTTTTTGTCTGCCTCGTGCGGGTGTGTGGAGGCAAGAACTCCCCGTAGGTGTAAATCGAGGTGTTACCAAGACGATATGTTACTTTATAGCTTAGTCGCAGTTTAATGTGAGGTTATATATAGACTAAGCTAGATATTTATTTTATCTGCTTTTTACCAAACAAAATATGTTGCAAACTAAAGAATTTTGGGTTAGTATTCAGGAAGGGGCACAGAAGCATATAATTTGACATGCAACATGTCAAGACTATTGACTTTTTCTATTATAATAATGCAAATAAATCTATTTAATTTAAAAATGATGTTGAAAAGTATGGTTACACTACATAACACCGCTCCCAGGCGTGATCGTATTGATTGTCGCGACTCTTTTGTCTCTGGTCGCTAATGGAGAGCGGACTGATTAACTTGGGCGGTCGGCGGCGGCAGTTGGCGGTAATTACCTCATTGTTGCTGCAACTGCTTGACGCCGAACAAATGAATCTGTCATTCTGCTGTACCTCTTTATTATAACAAAGTTGTTTGCTAACTTACATTCTAACAAGGCATTTTAATGAAGAACTTAAGATTTATTCCCTTCTTTAAATATGTTTCATTTAACACGTTCACTGCCACCTGCGTATTCTATTAGTTTATATCAATAGAAATTGTAGTGGCTTTAAATGTGTTAAGATTACCAAGGATTATGCCATTACTCTTAAATCTATACACATTCAAGTAGTTAATACTAAGATAAATAGAGCTACATTTTGTATGGATGACTTAATTACGAAGTACATTCGTAGTTCTGCCAAATTTAGCAATTGCTCTTACAAACAATGAAGCTTAGCCAAAATCAACATTGTTACAATACAATGTTAAATTCGCCTAATCCAGACTTGAAATTATATAAACTGTTTGAAAATGTTAATTAAACAATTTACATAAATAACTTAAGCGAATTATAGTATTTGATATATTAAACTTTAAAACGTATTGAGATTGGGTTAATCGAAAGTCATATAAAGTCGAGAGCAATAACTTTGTCTTTAATCGTTCGAGCTTGGCACTGGTCAGGTTGCAATTAACTCTTTGTTACTGAATCTATGTGTCCCGGAGTCTCGGAGTCCCGGTGTCTTGGCACGGGAACACTCTATTAAAGTCGCTTTTTGCTGATATCCAGCCAGTTACTCGATCGTGCATAAATTTATGCTTTTAACAACTTTGTTCCCAGACTCCAGTAAATAATTGAAACTAATGATTGTTTTTACTAACTGAATCTAAATGGATTGCTTAAATAATTTTAATGATTATAGAAAAATGTGGTGCGATTAGTTGCTATAGACGTTTGTGTTTAAAATAGAAAAAGTTTGTTAAATGTTGTATGCATTTAGTAAATTTTATAGTTATACTCAAAATAAAATTGTTATTTCCAAAATCAAATGTTTTATTAAATGACCAAATTCACACTTTTAATTGATCATTAATATATACAGTCGAACTTAGATCAACGAGAGCTCAAGGGACCGCGATGCATTTCTGGCTTATAGAGGTTTCTCTTTCATCCAGTTTCGATATATATCTGCTTTGCGTCAAAAATCTAAGTCTTATTAAAATCTATTGATTGATGACATGGTAAGCTGCAACCGCGGTAAAGGGCCGTTTGTAATAATAGCTATTCATTTTTCACAGCATCCCCGATGACAGTACATCCATTCCGCTTTGTAAGGAAGTGTTCTGGCACGCGAGGCGAATTTAAAATCAACGTATAATGCCCTACAAGGTAGACAAGACAGGCCAACCTATTGTCTTGATGCGCTTAGGGATACTTGAATAATTTAGCTTGTGTTGTTTTACTTTAAAGATTTTTATGAGTGTCACACTCGTTAAATGGGTACTTAATGAACCTTTAAGTGTAGTTTTCTCATACTAAATCTATGCTACTGAATTTGTTTTGTAACCATTGAGTTATAACAAGTAGTAGTAAGAGAAATAAATTGTACAGTATACAGGTCCTATGTAGTTCTTGATATATGCTGTACCGAAAAATCCTCTTCCCCTCTTTCTTAAAATAAGGCTGAGGACATTTGTTCACTTAATTGGCGTAGTCGTTTGTTAGGTGCCTTGTACCATTAAAATAAAGCGACTTGTTTTTTCTCGATCTATCTTGCGAACAATCTATAATTCTACATCAATCTATCATATTATCAGAAATAAGGACGCGTGTTTTGTGCTCAGATGCTTATGCTTGTTTCTCACAAGAAAACAGCGAGACAGTGCAGTAGAAGAGTGCAGTACTGCTATTATTTTGGCAGTAAGTGTGCGTTCGAACAATATCAGTACTGCATTGTCCGCTGCTCTGCTTCACAGTTATATTCTCGTGTGTACTTAGCATTACAGACTGTAGTAGTTTCAGTTATGTATCTAAATCATGTGACCGGCTTCAACACAATGTGTCAATTGTGTTGAAATGGGTCACGTGGACAACGGTATTGCCGTCATTATTATCAACACTAGTTTGTTACATATCTCCTTGTACGCTTCAATATTATATGAAAGCGAATGTTTAGATAGATGGATAAATGGATGTTCGTTAGAAGGTTACGAAACGGCTCAACTCATCTCGTTAATTTTGGCAATGTAGAGCATATTCTGGAAGAGTACATAGGCTGCCAATACAAAGGTTTTTTAAATTCCGCGCTTACGGATTCGTCGATATTGTATATTTATTTTGAGGACGTATTATACTAAAAATTAAGATTAACATTATAATGCACTTATGTTATTTAAACTTTGCTTTTAATCCGCGTCATCCAGTCGCTACCGTTGTGGAATGTTTCCAAGTCTCACAATGCATATCTTAATTAAACGCATTTCGTTAACTTATTTAATTTAATCGTGCACAATTCAAAGTGTAACAAAACGCGCAACTACTAAAGGAGAATTTCCACTGAGTGCAACTGCGCCCGAACTCATTTTAAGTATGACACAAGTTTAATTTTAATTAGAGAGCAAAACGTGTCGGCAACGTCGGAGACCGTGTGTCTTTTGTTTAAGAATACCAGTGAGTTTCCACTGTCGTAGCACCTGGGTTACAACAGTATAGCTATTACCCTCATTCGCTATGAAAAAAACAGAGCTCACAATAGTGTAAGTAAATATATGTGTTACAAAATGTTTCTCAACATACACGAACTTTTTATTTACGAAAATATTATAACAGTACTATAGTACAAGTGCAACTAATCAAATTTTATTATTCTTACGGCCATAGACTTGTGAAAATATTATATAAACCTTTTGTAAGT